CTACGTTTGCTGACCCACCCCAAACTCCTTGATCAATAAGTCGAACGTGACCTCTTGATCGAGAACCTATCCATTCGAGCTGTCCAGTGTTGTAACGGGGTGAATCGTTACATAACAATTTATAAGAAATTGTTAATAGAATATAACTATAAGAGTTATATTCTCAGAATGTTGTCATAAGGACAATATTCTGTAGCACTTCCAAGTAGTTCCTAATTGGTTGATATAGGCCATTATATCAACCAACGAAGACGCGCCACGACAGACGCACGCAATGAGTGGTGAGCAGATAACTGATTTACACATTTGTATTTAGACATAGTTAGATGAAGATAAATAGTGATTTATTGCAGACATTAACTATTATAAATACAGTTCTACTTTTTACTCTAACCGAGTACTCGCTTCTTCTTACCGTCTTCCTCTGCACGTACGAGTGTACGTGAAGTTACGAGGCACCGCCTTATTCTGTCATCAGAATAAGTAGCTTGTACTGTCACCAGTACAAGCTTCAGGGTGCCCCGTTACACCTGGTAGCACTTCGTAGTCCGTCCAAGGACCGCGTTCACATCCAACATGAATATGTTGGATGATGAAGATGACCAAAGCTTTCACGCTACGCGTGACGGCTACTCCCATTTGAGCGATGTCGAATGGGATGCGGTTGAACGAATGGGTTCGACCATGGGCATCCATGCTGTTAGCGTCATGCTAGAGGCTCTCAATAGAGATGCCCAACATGCTACTATCGCCAAGTTCATTCAAAATGAACTTGACGCAGAACGCGAGAAAGTAGCCTTGCTTCACCAACAAGGTTCTCAACAAGCAGAGTTGTTGAGAGAACAAGGTGCTCAACAGTTTGAACTGTTGAGACAGCAGCAGGCTGCTGCTGGCGGGTCGATGCACTCGCGTCGGCCCGAGACTTTGAAGATTGACATCTCAAAGTATAGGGGGTCGAAGAAGACTCCCTCTTGAGATGGTTCGTCGAATTGGATGACGCCATAAGGGCGCGTCGCATCGACGACGGGGATATGCAAGTTGCATTTGCCCAGTCAAATCTGGCAGGACGTGCCAAGACTTGGGCACTGGGGCTCAAGCTGCACGACCCATACGCGTTTGGGTCGTTGGAAGTCTTCAAGTCGCGGCTCAGACAAACGTTTGAACCGCCTAGAGCTGAGTTCAGAGCTCGAACCGAACTCTTGAAGCTCAAGCAGGGTAAGCGTGATGTGCACGCTTACGCTCAACATATACGACATCTCACGAGTTGTATAAGTTCCAATCCGGTGGATGAACACACGTTGGTTTCGGTGTTCATGCAGGGTCTTGCGGATGGTCCCGTCAAGACTCACCTGTTCCGGCTTGAACTAGATTCACTAGAACAAGCCATTTCAATTGCGGAGCAGGAAGACTTCAGTCTGAGACAGGCTCGCGCCAGCTCGACATCATATCGTCAACCGAGACGATATGACAACGGAGGTCCAGAGCCGATGGAACTCTGTTATGTAGAGAGCGAGAAGGCTCGCTCTACAGGCTACAAGAAGTTGCAGAGATGCAACAGATGTCAAAAGACAGGACACTACGCTTACGAGTGTAGTGCCCCTCGTCCAGTGTCTCGCGACACTGGGCGTAGTGACCGTCCACCCATGAGAAAGGGGCAGGGACGAGGGTCCGCAGTTGGTGCAAAGACGCAACAACGGGATGGACCGTCAAAAAACGGACAGGATCAGTAGGTGCGGAGCACCCTACTGATCCAGCAACGTCAAGAGAATTTGTAGGCCTCTTGATGAAGGTTGCTCCCAACACACAGACATTGTGCGTTGCTGCTCTAGGTAATGAGATCTCACTCATTACCTTGAAACTCGAAGTGACGAATAAGTTGTCCCTTCGAGCTCTAGTCGATTGTGGGGCGTCCAACAATTTTGTGCGACGCCAATCGCTAGAAGATGGTCACTTTAAATTCAGTGAATGTGACACACCTCCTACGAGGATGACGGTACGTCTTGCGACAGGCGCATCCGTAACCGTCATGAAGCGTATAGTGAAGATTCACTATACGCTAGAAGATACCCAATACGACGATGACTTTATCGTATTGGATTTGGATGACAAATTTGATGTCATCCTTGGAATACCGTGGCTCAGAAGGTACGAACCACGGGTAAACTGGCAACATCGAACAGTAACGATGCCTGCCGCTTGTTCATCAGATGGCCATCTGATGAACGTTTTGGAGCGTCCACAAGCGTGTGGATGTACTACGAGTGAGTGCGATGGCCTCACTTGTGGTACGGTCGTTAGTACGACTGCACAAAACCTTAGTGTACCAAACGGTTACACTTCGGAGCAAAGTTCCGGCGGCTGTGAGGAAACACAGGCTGCGCCGAAGGTCCACCACTCGAATAAGTCGGGTGGACTGGGACAAAGATGTATCCCTAGAGGGGAACATCTAGAAGAGAAACAATCGATCGCTCAGGTTAAGCGAAACGATAATCCTAGATCGACTGGAGAGTCTTTCGTAGAGGATCTCGCTGTGGTTGCGCAACCCCAGCTAGAGGAAGTAAAGGGAATAAGTCCCAAGATTACAAATACGGCGGAAATAAGTTCCCCGAAACCCGCGGGAATAAGTCCCCGGGAAGACGAAGGAATAAGTCCTTCGAAGCCTGAGGGAATAAGTCCCCAGGAAATGACAGAGACATTGAATGTCATAGTCAATAACGGATCATGTGTAGGCGCTTATACACTTGATCTGATTGCGCCTCCGAAGTTAACTTCGGAGATCACTCAGTTGCCAACGCTCGAACATAAAAGATTCTTGCGTGATCTGCGTAGTGGCAAAGTCAAGCAGATCTGCGTACTCGTCGATGAAGACGAGTATGTAACCGACATAAGGTCAGCAACAGTGTTTACTGAGAACGAGAGAGTTCTCAGTAGTTCATCTATGGACGAGAGTGTCCTAGATGAAAAGACACGAATTGAGCGATATGAGTCCCAATCATGGGAATCGCTCAAGGAAAATCCTCTCTATGAAGATTTGGTTGAATTCAAGGATGTATTCCCTGAAACTGTTCCGTGCGAATTACCGAAGGATAAAGGTATTCGACACGAAGTCGAGCTTAAACCAGGCTCGAAGTACTGTGTCATGAAGCAGTGGCCACTGCCTCGTGAACAAGTACTTGCGATCGACAAGTTCTTTGCCGATCGTTTAGCAGCGGGCCATGTGAGGGAATCAACTTCCCCACATAGCTCTCCGACCTTCTGTGTGCGAAAAGCAACAGGAGGGTGGCGGATAGTGCACGCGTTTAACAAATTGAACGCTGCAACGGTACCGGCTCAGACGCCGATACCGAGGAAGGACGTAATCATTGATGGTATGTCAAAGAGTACCATCTTTTCGTCCATGGATTTGATGGATGGCTTCTATCAAATCCTAATGCGGAACGGGATATACCCTATACCGCAGTTAGCACGCCTAGCGGCATGCTCTGGGAATGGCTAGTAATGCCACAAGGGCTCAGTAATGCCCCTGCCACGTTCAACAGGTGTGTATCACATCTGTTGAGGCCGGTACGAGAATTCGCGCCGAGTTATTTCGATGACGTATTCATCCATAGTCGAGCTATGGATGGAAAGTCGGACGTTGAGGTTCACAAGTACCACGTCCGACAAGTTCTTACAATCATGCGAAAGCATCAATTGTATGCAAACCTCAAGAAGTGTATATTTGCAGCAAGCGAAATACCACTTCTTGGGTGCATCGTTGGTAAGAACGGTGTACGTCCTGATCCCGAAAAGATCAAGGCGATCACCGACTGGCCCGTGCCGGTCGATGTCAAAGGTCTTCGAAAATTCCTTGGGCTAGCGGCGTATTTGCATAAGTATTCACGCAATTACGCCGAGATGACTGTACACCTCTCTCGTTTGTTGAAAAAGAACGAGAGGTGGTTATGGAACGCTGAATGTCAACGCTCCTTTGAGGGTATCAAGCAGAGCTTGATACAATCCCCAGTCCTAGCAATAGCCGATCAGGACAGGCCATTTCATGTGGTCTGTGATGCCAGCGATTTCGCAATCGGCTGTGCATTAATGCAGTACGACCTTGAAGGCGTTGAACGCGTCGTCTGCTATCAGTCGCGTCAGCTGCAACCAGCTGAGCGGAACTATCCAGTGCATGACAAGGAACTCCTTGCCATGAAGTATGCACTCGCGAAGTTCAGAGTCTATCTATTAGGAGATAGACCCTTCGTTGTTTACACTGACCATGCGTCCTTACGCACGGCAGTGAACAGCCCGCACCTTTCACAACGAATGGCGCGGTGGTTGTCATTCTTTGCAGAATACAACTTTACGGTCGAGTACAAACCAGGACGACTTAATGTCGTCGCTGATGCACTCTCACGTCGTCCCGACTTTGAAACAGTCGCGAAACCCAACAGTGAGACAGTCACTGTTGCGGTTATGACGTCCTCAGTTCCATCTACAACGTTGTATGATGATGTGAGGCGGGCGTATGCCCAAGATGGTGAGATAGTGAAGTTGTTGTCACATCTCTCCCAACCATCTCGAGAATCGTTGAAACGATTGTCGTCTGCGTATCGATCTGCATCAGATCGATACACTACTCGTAACGGTTTACTGTACTATACAGCCGTTTCTGGTGACACACCACGTGTTGTCATTCCAGATGATACTGATCTGCGTTTGCGGATCATGTTCGAGTATCACGATGCTCCTATAGGAGGACATCGTGGCCGGAGAAAACATATCTCACGGTAAGTCGAGACTTTTACTGGCCCCGCCAGTATCAGTTTGTGCGAAAGTATGTTCGCGCATGCGAAGTCTGCCAACGAGTGAAGTCAAGTCCTTCACTGCGTGCACCTTTACAGCCTCTACCGGTTCCGGCTGAGTGCTGGGAATCCATCTCAATGGATTTCGTCTTCGGGTTACCCAAAGACGCACGCGGGAATACGGGTATTCTCGTATTTGTTGACAGATTCAGCAAAATGGTACACCTTGTGGCTGTACCAGAGACAATCACGGCAAGTGGCTGTGCTTGTGTCTTTATTGACACCATCTTCCGACTTCATGGGTTGCCCCGTGAACTCGTATCAGACAGAGATCCACGATTCACTGCTGATTTCTGGCGTTCCGTGTTCAAATCACTCGGAACGCGCTTGAAGATGTCAGCATCTGATCATCCAGAGTCAGATGGTCAGACGGAACGTGCCAATCGTGTCCTTGAAGAGATACTTCGAGGATACGTACACTCCTTTAAGAGTTGGAGTGAGTTGTTGCCAATGGTAGAGTTTGCCATCAACAACTCGGTGCATGCGTCCACGACACATACACCGTTTTACGTGAATGGCTTGCGCCATCCGCGTGTACCCACCTTACTAGAGTGTAACTCTGGTTTAAGGGGGGGAGGGACTCGCGCGAGCAAAAACCGATTTGGTTCACGCTCATCACGCTCTGACGAAGAAGTCATTGCGTTTGATGCCGATATCGATAACATCGATATCGAAGAAGATGATGCCAGTGAGAGTGCGGAAGCCCTCACTGAAGACAATGATCCCAGTGAGAGTGCGGAAGCCCTCACTGAAGAAAAGGTTGTTGTCGCTGCAGTGCGCTCACAGCACACTGAAGCTAACGAGTCATCAGATGAGTTCATACTGGCTCGTGAAACGGTAGTCCGTTTTGTGCAAGACTCTATCGCCGAAGCGGTGGATAAGCAAAAGCAAAACGCTGACAAGAATGGAAGGGCAAACACTTTTATTTAATAAAGGTGACTTAGTCCTACTGTCTACGGTTAATCTACCAAAACATGTAGTGACTAACTTGGGTAGCAGTAAACTACTACCCAAGTACATTGGCCCATTTCGTGTATTGCACCGCCTAGGCAATGCATACACGATCGAGTTACCACGTAAGATGCGAACGCATCCCACGTTTTACGTTGGTCGGCTTAAGCCGTACCATCAGTACGCTGCTTCTTCCGATGAAGAACGCCCTTGCGCTCAAGCATCTCGCAGAGAGCCTTGTGCTCCCGATGATGGGCATCAACAAGGGTCTGAAGAGCAGTTATCTCAGCCCGAGACCGATCAACAATCCCACGAGCTACCCTTAGCTCGTCACGAAGAGATGTCAGAGACCTCTCGTTCTCAAGCTGAGCAAAGGCAAACTCAGCTCGATGCTTCGAGGCAGTGTCCACCATCTGGAGACGCCTATTCCGCTCATGCTCGAGATCGTCGCGTAACCCTTGCGTTACGCGATCAACGAAGCTCTCGGGAACACACCGATCCACATGATCGTGTGGAGAGCGTCTTTCCTCCTCCTCCACCTCCATTAGAGGACTCTCGCGGTGGCCAGCGCTATCTAGTAGAGCAGCTGTTGAACCACCGCGACGTGAACGGACGTCGGACGAGTTACCTCGTCCGGTGGCGCGGCTATCCCCCGTCCTGGGATTCTTGGGAGCCCCGCTCCCAATTGATGGTTGACGTACTGGGTCTGGTCGAGGCAGTACGACGCGACACATCCTGTGCCGCAGAAGGACCGCCGGAGAAAGTCTTCCCGGCACGGTCGTAAAGGGATTTGAGATTGTCAATCCCTTCGTACATCTCAGTAGAGACACGTACGCGCCACCACGGGCTGGTAAGGAGGTAAGCCTCCTTAGGTGCTCGTGCAGAGTTGTTCACACAACATGGGCACGAGTCTCCCCAAGAGAGGCAGGGTAATCCTTTCTCCCTTGACAGACGATGCAGCTTGTAGCGTGCACCTGTCGGGGTTCGCTTTTCAAACTTATCACGAGCTTTGATAAGTTTGTCGTTCCAAGCGTCACGACCTACATCCTCGAGATTATGGATGTAGGCGTTCCACGCCTGAAGTAGTGAGGGACCATCACGTTTGTGATTCCCACTGTACCATCGATGTCTGAAGAAAGCATCGATGAAGAACTCATGTTCAGCGCGATAGTCTTTCGCGCTGGGGTCAAGGTGATGAATCCTTGACGAATCGAACAATCGTGTTCGATAACGATCACTCGTCGTCGCCGACAAGTGATCCATGACAGATTTAGGAGGCATCCATGCCTTCTTTTCTGGAGCGAGACGCAACACATTGCGGTCCCGCTCTTCCTGCAATGTGCCGACAGAAGGACTGGCACCTCGTTGCGAAGTGGTGTCCATAGGAGAAACGACACCACTATTAGCGCCCGAGTCTCGCGACCTCGAGCGCCTTCGCTTCGGCGATGGTTCATCTGACTCATCAGATGAACCAAAGATGCTGCGACGCAAAGCATCGTCCATGCCACGCTTGGCAGGCGGCTTGGATTCAATTGCCGTCGATACGGATCCGTCATCCGTATCAGGAGAGTACGAGACACCGAGCTCGTACTCTGTGAAGACACGAGTGTCTTCATGACCAGCGCCTGCATCACCAGGTGATACAGGCTGAGTCGATTCAGCAACCGATGGGATATCAGTTGCTGTAGTTTCTGCTTCGGCGTCCGCACAGAGACGTGCAGACGCGCTCTCGGCGGCCTTGCTCGCGCATCGCATGGGCTTGTTTACCATGCGATGAGATGTTGGAAAGTGGACGCGGACCAACAAGTGCAAACCCCGTCCCAAATGATTTGGGACGAGTATCCATTTAGTCAATCAGTCACTAAAGTGACTGATGGTTAAGGGGGGTGATGTAACGGGGTGAATCGTTACATAACAATTTATAAGAAATTGTTAATAGAATATAACTATAAGAGTTATATTCTCAGAATATTGTCATAAGGACAATATTCTGTAGCACTTCCAAGTAGTTCCTAATTGGTTGATATAGGCCATTATATCAACCAACGAAGACGCGCCACGACAGACGCACGCAATGAGTGGTGAGCAGATAACTGATTTACACATTTGTATTTAGACATAGTTAGATGAAGATAAATAGTGATTTATTGCAGACATTAACTATTATAAATACAGTTCTACTTTTTACTCTAACCGAGTACTCGCTTCTTCTTACCGTCTTCCTCTGCACGTACGAGTGTACGTGAAGTTACGAGGCACCGCCTTATTCTGTCATCAGAATAAGTAGCTTGTACTGTCACCAGTACAAGCTTCAGGGTGCCCCGTTACAAGTGTAATCCCAGAAACTTGTTTACCTCTATGTCTTTGATGGACAATGAACTCATCTCAGCCAAAAATCGTCTACAGCGCATTTATTCGGTGACGTGACCAACAGGTCATCCACACAGACACCGACCACTGTAAATGTCTCGCCTTTGTACTTGTAGTACAGGCACATATCCTTCATGCATTGCTGAAATCCACCTTGTCGCAGCTTATAGTCAAGTAATTTGCTCCACAGCCGCCCAGCTTGTATATGTCCACTTAGTGATTTTTCGAGCAAATCTTATTATCAGGACCACAAATGTCTAAAAGTCCCAAAAGCAGGACTATAGTTTAAACAAGTCTAAAATTTATTGATATTTAATGTTAGCCTCATCAAACTCAACTGCAACATGGGATAAGAAACTGCCTGATCACTATTGAGTCTTTCCTTTTATTAGACAACTGTCGCGAGTGGTAAAAAAACGCTCTTTTTTACCAACGTTCGTTTACTTCTCAATTTGCGCCCACGAGCCGATGTGACCATTTTGGTTTGGGCACATTGCGTGCGAGCCAGGGCCCGGTCGCATGCACCCGACGAGCTCGTGACCGGGTGACACAGTTATTACACCTTGCACTGTCGATTTTAGTTAAATCAGTAATTCTTTATGTACGCGGTTGCAGCAACGCCAGTTCGAAATGTTTTACAATAGGTCAGGTCAGTGGTACCGTGATTAGTGTTAATTTCGATTGCTGCAGTCACTCGAGACATCTCAAAGACTTCTTTCAGTCCACTTCTTGCGCTTACGCTTAAACGCTCAAACTAACCATTCAAAATAAATAGCATGAGGCAGTGAACAATTTATTTTTTAATGATTACTGCTTTTAAGACCAGTACTAATTTTTATATATGTACATAACGCAGGTATAACACTTGTCTTGATATTACGCCCTAGTCAGTCAAACAAACTCCTGGCACTGCAACATATCCACACGGACATAGCACACAATGTTAAGCAGGACACTCGACATTACTTGAAACCACTTGACGCCGCTCTATATCACCGGACGCCACTTTACATCACTGGACATTACTCGACATCACTTAAATCACTCGACATCACTTGAAACGCACTGCAACACATACATACAGACAAAGCATACGATCGTTAGACAGCAAAGTCGACATCGACAGCATAATTACCTGCTACCGCTGCTCATGAGAGTTAATACAATAACGGAGTTCAAAAGTCACGAGCTCGTCGGGTGCATGCGACCGGGCCCTGGCTCGCACGCAATGTGCCCAAACCAAAATGGTCACATCGGCTCGTGGGCGCAAATTGAGAAGTAAACGAACGTTGGTAAAAAAGAGCGTTTTTTTACCACTCGCGACAGTTGTCTAATAAAAGGAAAGACTCAATAGTGATCAGGCAGTTTCTTATCCCATGTTGCAGTTGAGTTTAATGTGGCTAAAACTATGCTAGTTTGCATACTCAACCCAAGTATAAAATGATAAATTTGAACTTAATTAAACTATAGTCCTGCTTTTGGGACTTTTGAACATTTGTGGTCCTGATATTGAGATTTGCTCTGATTTTTCATTAGTAGTGTCGTATCACTTGGTGACCTTGTCACCAGGCTTTCTAGCTCGTTTGTTTCCAGAGTCATACCATTTGGGACCTTCATGTAGATATCCAGGTGCTCCTCTTTTTCGCCTTGACGTACGCATTAGGTACGTCTCCAGGGCGTGCCGGTACGTTCCATCGTCTGGAGAGCATCAAAATCAACGTCACTGTTCCCAAGTCTATGACGGCCGCGAACGTTAAAGTATAATCCACTCCAAAGACTCGTTCGTTCCGCAAACAACCAGACGAGTTTGTACCACTCAATTTATCCGTTCGCATCGGCCTACGTCTTGTACACCCTCTTGTTGTGTAGGTCGTGTGCGCCATTATGTGCCACCAAAAAACATTTCAAGCGTCATTCGATTTCAAAGCGTCCAGTTCTTCGGTCGTGGCAATTTTCCACTGCTCTCGATGGTCGCTCTTGACTGCCTCCCCATAGTGCTTGGGATCTTGCACTACACCTGCATTGACCACATCGTATCTCTCAGCAGAACCTGCGGTCGAAGGTTTGTTATCCTGCTTTTTGCTGGTTGACCTTGTACCATGTCTCCCTCTTGTCCATCCAGATCTTCCGCCTTTACGGCTCTTAGTGGCCCATTTTTTAGCAATTGGTTGCGCATGAACATTCCGCTGACCATCATTATGGATGTCCTCCTGACGGTCGGCCTTCTCCAAGTTAGACTTGAGCTGCCTGTTCTTCCCATCCGTCAGCGTTTCGATGCTTTGCTCTTGTTGCGTTAGCACAACCACCTTGCACTTCGTGATGTACACCTTGTATCATTTCTTACCGTCACTTTCGTTAACACCTATGGCCGCCTTCCCGTGCTCGCCGAGTGACTTGTTTCTGGCGTTGGCATGGACAGTGCATGCCGAACCAAACACCACGATGTCATTTTTTCTCTCATTCACTTAGCATGGGTACCTTCTTTGTCAAAACTCCATGGGTGATACACCACCAGGATTCAACTTGTTTCGACTCCTGTTAAGGATACAAGTCGCGTATTCATCAGCATTGTCCCATAAAGACAACAGCATGTTTGAAGCAAACACCAGGCTTCGTACCATGTTCATGATGGCACGACGCATTCGCTCAGCCTTGCCATTGGTTCCTGGCTTCACTAAATCGACTTGATACGCCCTTAGCCTTGAAAAACATGTCCAATGTCTTATATTTACCACCTATGTCCGTGCGTAGCACATGAATCCTGCAATTGGACTTAAGATCAAAGCTTGCAAGGCCACGTTTAAACTTGAGTGCAGCAACGTCCTTCGACTTGGCCAAAAACACACGTCAATAGTTCGACCGGTGATAAGTAAAATTGACCAGGTAACGATTGCTCAGACGATCTCGTGGGGTAATCAACAATTTAAGGTCGGAGCAGATCACTCTATATATTACATCGATAGGTGAGCTATTGCCCGTGTCCTTCTTCGACTGCGTTCCCTTGACATGTTTTCCTCGAGCTCACGCCATGCAATTCGCGCGTGTCGTGTCCGTTAGATTAATATCCAACGCCAGGTCTTTGGCCATCTTGGTGATCGTAATGAAACATAGATGGCCCGAACTGTGATGAAGTGCATCACGGTACCACTATAAACTTCCGAATCGGACTCGTATTTAGGTGAATTGAGTACAGCCATCATCGTCTCCCGTGATGTGCTTGAGTTTTGTTGTCACCTCCCATCACCATAAAACCAACACATTGTTGCTGCAATCGACATCCAAAACCGGTGCGCCGAACCCAGAGGTCAATACAAGCCCCCTTCTCGATATTCGAGTACGCATCCTTTAAAACCGAGCCTACCACAATAGATAAAATTACGCTCGAGGCTCGCGGCGTACTGAACATCAAGGAGTCGTATGGTGTTTATGACTCCAAGTGCAACAACTACAATGTCGACACTTCCTCGCCTCGTCACACGTAGCACACCTCCATCGGTGGTCGCCGTCAAGCATTCGCTATGACCATCCTACGGGTCAGCCAGCAGACTCAATTCGTTGACCAAATTTCTGATGGACTTACTGTCAAGGATCCAATGGTTGGCTTGTAGACCACCACCATTACCAATCGCGCAGGTGAAGCTGTCTTTGGAAGCTTCTTCTTTAAGTGAGGGCACCTCGATCTGATGTCCCCGACTTTGTCGCACATGTAGCACGTGCACTCGCCACCTTCCGTGAAGGTAGTCTTTACCTTCGCCTTAATCTTGTCCTATGATTCCTTTCTTGGTTCAACAGCGTTGACCACATCCCGCCCCAGATTTTTCGCATGAGTGTCAATTTCTGTTGACTGCGCGAGCTGCGCCAGCTCTGCAGACTGGCTGAAGTGGATGATGTGATGCATGTGCAAACTGGACAACACGATCATACGCATATGTGGGTCCGCATAGTGGACGATTTTGTCAAGCACTAGGCTGTCCGCACCGCCGCACGCATCGCTTACGGCCGTCAGATACAAGAAGTGGTCCGTCCTACTTCTGTGACTTGCCTTCGGCGCCGTGAACAACTTCATACTCTAGGTACGTGATGTCTTGGTGTTAAACGTATGCAGCAACCTTTGCATAGAATGCTCCAAGTTTTGACTCTCGAACCACCAGGATCTCACCTGCCGACGGTAGTACGCCTGCGCCATGCCGACCAGATATTGCACCAGGACATCAACCTTGATATCTTCCGACCACTCGATCCCCACACGTACACTCCGCAAACGCGACTTGGCAAACGAATTCCTTACCCCATCCAAGGAATCCACTACCAAGTCCGTGGTAGAGTTCCTTTCCATCGAAGTGTTGCAGTGCTAGCTTTAGATGATGCGCGTCCGACATGCCCGCAATTTGCGGTCCAGGATGAGCATACGTCTTGTTCTGGATGCTTCCACCGGGAATGTATCCCGCATGCACCTCCTGCCTGTGGTGTACAGGCTCAAGAAATGGTCCTATGTTGCCGTATGCCATAACATGGTCCGCCGGTCGCCCACCATCATTTGCTTGGTTGTGGCGCCTTGCCACGAAGTACGTCGCTGGTGACACATTCGAAGACGTTTTCGGAGGAGGGGTACGCCTTAAAGCCTAGAGACTCATCCCCGCTCCCACTCCCAGGGCCGAACCGAAAATTGACTGCGGTGACCCCCTTTGGCCCTTGCCAACTTGCTCCTTCCGGGTGGCGTCCGTCTATTTCATCCGATCGGATAGGTCCCTGAGTAGCCAGCACCTGGTTCATTGCCCCTAGGGGTGCTGCCTACTTTTCTTCCAGATGGTTGGTAGTCGGTCTTGTCAGGACCGTCAGTAACTAGGACACTTCCAGCTTAATCGCCTGCCCGGTATCGCGCTTGCTTGGGCTCATAACCTGTAAGTTCATGATGCTCTGGTTTGCACTTGTGCATAGGTTGTAACGGGGCACCCTGTAGCTTGTACTGGTAACAGTACAAGCTACTTATTCTGATCACAGAATACGGCGGTGCCTCGGAACTTCACGTACACTGGTACGTGCAGAGGAAGACGGTAGAAGAAGCGAGTACTTAGGTAAAGTAAAAAGTAGAAACTGTATTTATCATAGTTAATGTCTGCAAATAAATCACTATTTATCTTCATCTAACTATGTCTAAATACAAATGTGTAAATCAACTATCTGCTCACCACTCATTGCGTGCGTCTGTCGTGGCGCGTCTTCGTTGGTTGATATAATGGCCTATATCAACCAATTAGGAACTACTCGTAAGTGCTACAGAATATTTGTCCTTATGACAATATTATGAGAATATAACTCTTTTAGTTATATTCTATTAACAATTTCTTATAAATTGTTATGTAACGATTCACCCCGTTACATCACCCCCCTTAACCATCAGTCACTTTAGTGACTGATTGACTAAATGGATACTCGTCCCAAATCAGTTGGGACAGGGTTTGCACTTGTCGGTCCGAGTCCACTTTCCAACATCTCATCGCATAGTTAACAAGCCCATGCGATGCGCGAGCAAGGCCGCCGAGAGAGCGTCCGCACGTCTCTGTGCGGACGCCGAAGCAGAAACCGCAGCCAGTAATGTCTCATCGGTTGCTGAAGCGACTCAGCCTGTGTCACTTGGTGATGCAGGCGCTGGTCATGAAGACACTCATGTCTTCACAGAGTATGAGCTCGGTGTCTCATACTCTCCTGATACGGAAGACGGATCCGTATCGACGGCGATCGAATCCAAGCCGCCTGCCAAGCGTGGCATGGACGATGCTTTTACGTCGCAGCATCTTTGGTTCATCTGATGAATCAGATGAACCATCGCCGAAGCGAAGGCGCTCGAGGTCGCGAGACTCGGGCGCTAACAGTGGTGTCGTTTCTCCTATGGACACCACTTCGCAACGAGGTGCCAGTCCTTCTGTCGGCACATTGCAGGAAGAGCGGGACCGCAATGTGTTGCGTCTCGCTCCAGAAAAGAAGGCATGGATGCCTCCTAAATCTGTCATGGATCACTTGTCGGCGACGACGAGTGATCGTTATCGAACACGGTTGCTCGATTCGTCAAGGATCCATCACCTTGACCTCAGCGCGAAAAACTATCGCGCTGAACATGATTTCTTCATCGATGCTTTCTTTAGGCATCGATGGTACAGTGGGAATCACAAGCGTGATAGTCCCTCACTACTTCAAGCATGGAACGCCTACATCCATAACCTCGAGGATGTAGGTCGTGATGTTTGGAACGACAAACTTGTCAAAGCTCGTGATAAGTTTGAAAAGCGAACCCCGACGGGTGCACGCTACAAGCTGCATCGTCTGTCAAGGGAGAAAGTGTTACCCTGCCTCTCTTGGGGAGACTCGTGCCCATGTTGTGTGAACAACTCGGCACGAGCACCTAAGGAGGCTTACCTACTTACTAGCCCGTGGTGGCGCGTACGCATCTCTACCGAGATGTACGAAGGGATTGACAATCTCAAATCCCTTTACGACCGTGCCGGGAAGACTTTCTCCGGCGGTCCTTCTGCGGCACAGGATGTGCCGCGTCGTACTGCTCAACCAGACCCAGTACGTCAATCATCAGCTGGGAGCGGGGCTCCCAAGAATCCCAGGACGGGGGATAGCCGTGCCACCGGACGAGATAACTCGTCCGACGTCCGTTCACGTCGCGGTGGTTCAACAGGTGCTCAACCAGATAGCGCTGGCCACCGCGAGAGTCCTCTAATGGAGGTGGAGGAGGAGGAAAGACGCTCTCCACACGATCATGTGGATCCGTGTGTTCCCGAGAGCTTCTTTGATCGCGTAACTCTTGCGTTGCGCGGCGACCTCGACCATGAGTGGGACAGGCGTCTCCAACTGGCGAACACTGTCTTGAAGCATCGAGCTGAGTTTGCCTTTGCTCAGCTTGAGAACGAGAGAGCTCTGACATCTCTTCGTGACGAGCTAAGGGTAGCTCGTGGGATTGTTGATCGGTCTCGGGATGAGATAACTGCTCTTCAGACCCTTGTTGATGCCCATCATCGGGAGCACAAGGCTCTCTGCGAGATGCTTGAGCGCAAGGGCGTTCTTCATCGGAAGAAGCAGTGTACTGATGGTACGGCTTAGACCGACCAACGTAAAAAGTGGGATGCGTTTGCATCTTACGTGGCAACTCGATCGTGTATGCATTGCCTGGGCGGTGCAATACACGAAATGGGCCGATGTACTTGGGTAGTAAATTACTGCTACCCAAGTTAGTCACTACATGCTTTGGTAGATTAACCGTAGACAGTAGGACTAAGTCACCTTTATTAAATAAAAGAGTGTTTGCCCTTCCATTCTTGTCAGCGTTTTGCTTTTGCTTATCCACCGCTTCGGCGATAGAGTCTTGCACTAAACGGACTACCGTTTCACGAGCCAGTATGAATTCCTCTGATGACTCGTTAGCTTCAGTGCGCTGTGACTGCACTGCAGCAACATCAATCTTTTCTTCAGTGAGGGCTTCCGCGCTCTCACTGGCATCATCTTCTTCGATATCGGTGTTATCGATATCGGCATCAAATGCAATGACCTCTTCGTCAGAGCGTGATGAGCGTGAACCAAATCGGTTTTTGCTCACGCGAGTCCCTCCCCCCCTTAAACCAGAGTTACACTCTAGTAAGGTGGGTACACGCGGATGGCGTAATCCATTCACGTAAAACGGTGTATGTGTCGTTGACGCATGCACCGAGTTGTTAATGGCAAACTCTACCATTGGCAACAACTCACTCCAACTCTTAAAGGAGTGTACGTATCCTCGAAGTATCTCTTCGAGGACACGATTGACACGTTCGGTCTGACCATCTGACTCTGGATGATCAGATGTCGACATCTTCAAGCGCTTTCCGAGTGATTTGAAAACGGAGCGCCAGAAATCAGCAGTGAATCGTGGATCTCTGTGTGATACGAGTTCACGGGGCAACCCATGAAGTCGGAAGATGGTGTCGATAAAGACACAAGCACAGCCACTTGCCGTGATTGTCTCTGGTACAGCCACAAGGTGTACCATTTTGCTGAATCTGTCAACAAATACGAGAATACCCGAATTCCCGCGTGCGTCTTTGGGTAACCCGAAGACAAAATCCATTGAGATGGATTCCCAGCACTCAGCAGGAACCGGTAGAGGCTGTAAAGGTGCACGCAATGAAGGACTTGACTTCACTCGTTGGCAGACTTCGCATGCGCGAACATACTTTCGCACAAACTGATACTGGCGGGGCCAGTAAAAGTCTCGACTCACCGTGAGATATGTTTTCTCCCGGCCACGATGTCCTCCTATAGGAGCATCGTGATACTCGAACATGATCCGCAAACGCAGATCAGTATCATCTGGAATGAAAACACGTGGTGTGTCACCAGAAACGGCTGTATAATACAGTAAACCGTTACGAGTAGTGTATCGATCTGATGCAGATCGATACGCAGACGATAATCGTTTCAACGATTCTCGAGATAGTTGTGAGAAATGTGTCAACAACTTCACTATCTCACCATCTTGGGCATACGCCCGCCTCGTTTTATCATGTAACGTTGTAGATGGAACTGAGGACGTCATAACCGCAACAGTGACTGTCCCACTGTTGGGTTTCACGACTGGTTCAAAGCCGGGACGACGTGAGAGTGCATCAGCGACGACATTAAGTCTTCCTGGTTTGTACTCGACCGTAAAGTTGTATTCCGCAAAGAATGACAGCTACTGCGCCATTCGTCGGAAAGGTGCGGGCTGTTCACTGCCGTGCATAATGACGCATGGTCAGTGTAAACAATGAAGGGTCTATCTCCTAATAGATAGACTCTGAACTTCGCGAGTGCATACTTCATGGCAAGGAGTTCCTTGTCATGCACTGGATAGTTCCGCTCAGCTGGTTGCAGCTGACGCGACTGATAGCAGACGACGCGTTCAACGCCTTCAAGGTCGTACTGCATTAATGCACAGCCGATTGCGAAATCGCTGGCATCACAGACCACATGAAATGGCCTGTCCTGATCGGCTATTGCTAGGACTGGGGATTGTATCAAGCTCTGCTTGATACCCTCAAAGGAGCGTTGACATTCAGCGTTCCAAAACCACCTCTCGTTCTTTTTCAACAAACGAGAGAGGTGTACAGTCATCTCGGCGTAATTGCGTGAATACTTATGCAAATACGCCGCTAGCCCAAGGAATTTTCGAAGACCTTTGACATCGACCGGCACGGGCCAGTCGGTGATCGCCTTGATCTTTTCGGGATCAGGACGTACACCGTTCTTACCAACGATGCACCCAAGAAGTGGTATTTCGCTTGCTGCAAATATACACTTCTTGAGGTTTGCATACAATTGATGCTTTCGCATGATTGTAAGAACCTGTCGGACGTGGTACCTGTGAACCTCAACGTCCGACTTCTCATCCATAGCCCGACTATGGATGAATACGTCATCCAAATAACTCGGCGCGAATTCTCGTACTGGTCTCAACAGATGTGATACACATCTGTTGAACGTGGCAGGGGCATTACTAAGCCCTTGTGGCATTACTAGCCATTCCCAGAGCATGCCGCTAGGCGTGCTAACTGCGGTATAGGGTATATCCCGTTCCCGCATTAGGATTTGATAGAAGCCATCCATCAAATCCATGGACGAAAGATGGTACTCTTTGACATACCATCAATGATTACGTCCTTCCTCGGTATCGGCGTCTGAGCCGGTACCGTTGCAGCGTTCAACTTGTTATATGCATGCACTATCCGCCACCCTCCTGTTGCTTTTCGCACACAGAAGGTTGGAGAGCTATGTGGGGAAGTTGATTCCCTCACATGGCCCGCAGCTAAACGATCGGCAAAGAACTTGTCGATCGAAAGTACTTGTTCACGAGGCAGTGGCCACTGCTTCATGACACAGTACTTCGAGCCTGATTTAAGCTCGACCTCGTGTCGAATACCTTTATCCTTCGGTAATTCGCACGGAACAGTTTCAGGGAATACATCCTTGAATTCAACCAAATCTTCGTAGAGAGGATTTGTCTTGAGCGATTCCCACGATTGGGAGTCATATCGCTCAATTCGTGTCTTTTCATCTAGGACACTCTCGTCCATAGATGAACTACTGAGAACTCTCTCGTTCTCAGTGAACACTGTTGCTGACCTTATGTCGGCTACACACTAGTCGTCAGCGACGAATACGCAGATCTGCTTGACTTTGCCACTACGCAGATCATGCAAGAATCTTTTATGTTCGAGTGTTGGCAACTGAGTGATCTCCGAAGTCAACTTCGGAGGCGCAATCAGATCAAGTGTATAAGCGCCTACACTTGATCCGTTATTGACTATGACATTCAATGTCTCTGTCATTTCCTGGGGACTTATTCCCTCAGGCCTCGAAGGACTTATTCCTTCGGCTTCCCGGGGACTTGTTCCCTCGGGTTTCGGGGAGCTTATTTCCGCCGTATTTGTAATATCGGGACTTATTCCCAAAACTTCCTCTAGCGCAACCACAGCGAGATCCTCTACGAAAGACTCTCCAGTCGATCAAGGATTATCGTTTCGCTTAACCTGAGCGATCGATTGTTTCTCTTCTAGATGTTCCCCGCTAGGGATAAATCTTTGTCCCGGTCCACTCGACTTATTCGAGTGGTGGAACTTCGGCGCAGCCTGTGTTTCCTCACAGCCGCCGGAACTTTGCTCCGAAGTGTAACCGTTTGGTACACTAAGGTTTTGTGCAGTCGTACTAACGACCGTACCACAAGTGAGGCCATCGCACTCACTCGTAGTACATCCACACGCTTGTGGACGCTCCAAAACGTTCATCAGATGGCCATCTGATGAACAAGCGGCAGGCATCGTTACTGTTCGATGTTGCCAGTTTACCCGTGGTTCGTACCTTCTGAGCCACGGTATTCCAAGGATGACATCAAATTTGTCATCCAATCCAATACGATAAAGTCATCGTCATATTGGGTATCTTCTAGCGTATAGTGGATCTTCACTATACGCTTCATGAAGGTTACGGATGCGCCTGTCGCAAGACGTACCGTCATCCTCGTAGGTGTGTCACATTCACTGAACTTAAAGTGACCATCTTCTAGCGATTGGCGTCGCACAAAATTGTTAGACGCCCCACAATCGACTAGAGCTCAAAGGGACAACTTATTCGTCACTTCGAGTTTCAAGGTAATGAGTGAGATCTCATTACCTAGAGCAGCAACGCACAACGTTTGTGTGTTGGGAGCAACCTTCATCAAGAGGCCTACAAATTCTCTTGACGTTGCTGGATCAGTAGGGTGCTCCGCACCTACTGATCCTGTCCGTTTTTTGACGGTCCATCCCGTTGTTGCGTCTGTGCACCAACAGCGGACCCACGTCCCTGCCCCTTTCTCATGGGTGGACGGTCACTACGCCCAGTGTCGCGAGACACTGGACGAGGGGCACTACACTCGTAAGCGTAGTGTCCTGTCTTTTGACATCTGTTGCATCTCTGCAACTTCTTGTAGCCTGTAGAGCGAGCCTTCTCGCTCTCTACATAACAGAGTTCCATCGGCTCTGGACCTCCGTTGTCATATCGTCTCGGTTGACGATATGATGTCGAGCTGGCGCGAGACTGTCTCAGACTGAAGTCGTCCTGCTCCGCAATGGAAATGGCTTGGTCTAGTGAATCTAGTTCAAGCCGGAACAGGTGAGTCTTGACGGGACCATCCGCAAGACCCTGCATGAACACCGAAACCAACGTGTATTCATCAACCGGATTGGAACTTATACAACTCGTAAGATGTCGTATATGTTGCGCGTAAGCGTGCACATCACGCTTACCCTGCTTGAGTTTCAAGATTTCGGCTCGAGCTCTGAACTCAGCTCTAGGCGGTTCAAACGTTTGTCTGAGCCGCGACTTGAAGACTTCCAACGACCCAAACGCATATGGGTCGTGCAACTTGAGCTCCAGTGCCCAAGTCTTGGCACGTCCTGCCAGATTTGACTGGGCAAATGCAACTTGCATATCCCCGTCGTCGATGCGACGCGCCCTTATGGCGTCATCCACCTTCGACGAACCATCTCAAGAGGGAGTCCTCTTCGACCCCCCTATACTTTGAGATGTCAATCTTCAAAGTCTCGGGCCGACGCGAGTGCATCGACCCGCCAGCAGCAGCCTGCTGCTGTCTCAACAGTTCAAACTGTTGAGCACCTTGTTCTCTCAACAACTCTGCTTGTTGAGAACCTTGTTGGTGAAGCAAGGCTACTTTCTCGCGTTCAGCGTCAAGTTAATTTTGAATGAACTTGGCGATAGTAGCATGTTGGGCATCTCTATTGAGAGCCTCTAGCATGACGCTAACAGCATGGATGCCCATTGTAACGGGGTGAATCGTTACATAACAATTTATAAGAAATTGTTAATAGAATATAACTATAAGAGTTATATTCTCAGAATATTGTCATAAGGACAATATTCTGTAGCACTTCCAAGTAGTTCCTAATTGGTTGATATAGGCCATTATATCAACCAACGAAGACGCGCCACGACAGACGCACGCAATGAGTGGTGAGCAGATAACTGATTTACACATTTGTATTTAGACATAGTTAGATGAAGATAAATAGTGATTTATTGCAGACATTAACTATTATAAATACAGTTCTACTTTTTACTCTAACCAAGTACTCGCTTCTTCTTACCGTCTTCCTCTGCACGTACGAGTGTACGTGAAGTTACGAGGCACCGCTTTATTCTGTTATCAGAATAAGTAGCTTGTACTGTCACCAGTACAAGCTTCAGGGCGCCCCGTGACACCTGGTAGCACTTTGTAGTCCGTCCAAGGACCGCGTTCACATCCAACATGAATATGTTGGATGATGAAGATGACCAAAGCTTTCACGCTACGCGTGACGGCTACTCCCATTTGAGCGATGTCGAATGGGATGCGGTTGAACGAATGGGTTCGACCATGGGCATCCATGCTGTTAGCGTCATGCTAGAGGCTCTCAATAGAGATGCCCAACATGCTACTATCGCCAAGTTCATTCAAAATGAACTTGACGCAGAACGCGAGAAAGTAGCCTTGCTTCACCAACAAGGTTCTCAACAAGCAGAGTTGTTGAGAGAACAAGGTGCTCAACAGTTTGAACTGTTGAGACAGCAGCAGGCTGCTGCTGGCGGGTCGATGCACTCGCGTCGGCCCGAGACTTTGAAGATTGACATCTCAAAGTATAGGGGGTCGAAGAGGACTCCCCTCTTGAGATGGTTCGTCGAATTGGATGACGCCATAAGGGCGCGTCGCATCGACGACGGGGATATGCAAGTTGCATTTGCCCAGTCAAATCTGGCAGGACGTGCCAAGACTTGGGCACTGGGGCTCAAGCTGCACGACCCATACGCGTTTGGGTCGTTGGAAGTCTTCAAGTCGCGGCTTAGACAAACGTTTGAACCGCCTAGAGCTGAGTTCAGAGCTCGAGCCGAACTCTTGAAGCTCAAGCAGGGTAAGCGTGATGTGCACGCTTACGCTCAACATATACGACATCTCACGAGTTGTATAAGTTCCAATCCGGTGGATGAACACACGTTGGTTTCGGTGTTCATGCAGGGTCTTAACGGATCCTAATCAAGCCATTCCAATTGCGG